GGGGGGGGGGGGGTCACATCTTATATGAGTAAATATTCAAGATAATCATATTTGAGTAAATATGGAACCAAATTAAAGCTACTCAGCTTCCAGGTCAATGCAAGATAGGGTATATGTTATAACATAATCACCCAGTGTTAACACAGAATCTGCTCCAAAAAGATTCCTCAAACAGAGTCTTAATATTTTTTTTTTAATTTGGAAAGCCTGCATAGCTACTCATAAACTGTACTGGTTTATACCATGACTGTATACAAATATCGAGAAACTACTTGACAAACTTCTACTTTTAGAACATAAAAGCATATCGCAATAGAGAAATGGAGCATCAGATGACAGCACAAAAGCAAAACCTCCAAAAACTAAAACTGATTACTGATATAATGCAAGAGCTATCCAAAGTTTATCATCACCTGGTTTCTCTGTACCGAGAACTTGACTGAGGAGGACTGTGATTTAATCTTCTAGAAAACTTCTTCTCTCGCTCTTCCTCTTTAATTGTCTGGATTTTAAAGAAAAACAGCAAGTCAAAAGATGATATCAGAATGCTCAAAGCTTTGCAGAGAACCTTGTCTGCCAAAGTTTTGCAATAGTTTTAATAAAAACACAGAAGCTGAGTGCATTTTTTGCTGAGTGAAATGTGCATTAAGCTGCAACTTGATAGCATACTTGTCTGTAATGGAATAGCTTTTAAAGTCTGATCAATTCCAAAATTTCAAAGAATGTTCTAACAGAGGGTTACCAAACATATGACCCTCAGAAGTGGGTCATGCAACCTGTGGGGTTTCTCATGAGCTAGACCAGCATTTCTCAACTCGTGGGTTGCAAGAATATTTCAAAGGATAGTGAGCTGTAGCAGGGCAGAAGGGTAGCAGGAAGGCACCTGACCCTGCAGTGGGAGGAGGCAGGGGAGAGCTGCGTGGCCATGCTGGCTGCACCAGGGGCAGTGCCCATGCTTGCAGTGGTGGGATGGCTAGGAGCTGCTGCTTGGTGGGGCAGGGCCATGACCAGGCTGCCTAGTGCAGTATGGCAGCCCCAGCTTAGAGTGGGAAAGGGAGTGCCACAGGACTCGCCTACTCCTCCCTCCAGCTTGTGCCAGGACCAGATTTGCTGGGCTGCTGCCTGAATGAACCTGAGCTGCTGTAGCCACCATGCTGCAGCCCAACCAGGAAAGGGATGGCTGGAGGCCGCTCTGGAACGGCTGGTGTGGCAGAGGGCTACGGGTCAGGAGTGAAGGACACCAGCATGGCCCAGTGGGGCAGGAGACTGGGGGTCAAGCACTGGCAAAGCCAGGAGGTGTGGGTCAGGACAGGCCATGGATCTTGGCAAATGGTTCCTGGTAGGAAAAAGGTTGAGAACCACTGACTTAGCTGGAACTGCTGTGATGGTGCAGGCCAGCAGCAGCCAACAATGGGAAAATGGAGAATGCACCCGTGGCTGCAGCATAAACTGCCCAGATGCCATGCCAAAGCAGCAGTTCCAGCAACCATGGCGAGAAGCCTCACAGTCCAGATCTGGGGGGGAGGGGGGGCAGTCTGACCTGTGAGAAGCCTCATCACCCAAACCCTGGCTATGGCCTACCCCCTGGCTATTGGCAGAGAATATTGCTCACCATTCTTAAGTTTGACACCCCTTTTCTAATACCAGTTCCCAAGGATGGCGATTCCACAGTCTCTCTAGGTAACCAATGCTTAATCACACTTGTGGTCAGAAAGCTCCACCTAATTTCCAACGTAACTTTTCTCTGCTGCAGCTTGAGTTCTTGTATATTCTTAGCTGTTAGCAAGAGACTTTCTGCCTCAGCAGTACACAATGAATTTGCTCCAAGCCTGCCCTTACTCATACTACCAGTATATGAGGCAGGGGTGGACAAAGGATATATACACCTTCTGTCCCTTCACTTCCTCTCATCTGTAGAGTTTTATGCTACATGTAACTCTGGCTGTAGGGCAGGGGAGAGGTAGGATATATTATGTACACAGACACGCACACACTTCCAGTTACCAGTAAGAATCTTCTCATTCTTCTTCAAATAATTGTTCGTATATAGCATTCTCACACTGTCACATGTTTAGAGGCAGGTACAGGAATCCACTAAGCAAAAAGCAATAAAAGGATTATGCTGCCAAATGCAGTATGTGCCCTAAAAGCTTCCATTATGATACAATGTTTGGTGAAAGTGCAAGTCAAACTCTAGGTGACTGCCCTGTTAAATGCCACCTATGGTGATGCTGCTTAGGAAGGCTATGGAATTAATCTGTGGTTTAATGGAACGAGCTCATGACAGAAGGCAGTTCCACTTCAGTGATATTACTATATAGTTTCACATAGTTGTGAGTCTGAAAGACTCCATGATTATCAGCTCAGAAACTATCAAGACAGATAGCAACTGAAACCTTAAAGAAGGGTTTTGTCTCATCCAGATAGTAGGACAAAGTTTTCTTATTGTCAAGGGAGTAACACAGCTTGAGCCTGAAAGGTGTAAGGTTTTGGGAAGAACCCAGCAAGGTAGTCTGCTGATCAAAAATTCAGACACCACCTTAGTCAAAAAGCTTATTTGGATAGAAGGGAAAAACAGAGAAGATCAGACAAAGGCTTGAATCTCAACTGATCAGTCATGAAGTACTTGCTAACAAAAATGCTGTTTTCATGAACAGGCAGAGAAGGGAGCACACATTGGAGGGACTGTCAGACTCAAATGGAAGTGACATAAGGACCAAATTCAGTCCCATCAAGGAAAAGAATTCCTGTTCCGGGGAAATACCACAGTTAAATGTGAAGAATTTTAGATCCATCAGATGAGAAAATACACACTGTCCCAAAATAAACACTGTCCCAATCCCAGTGTGCAGGGGCAGCACTGGACCCAATCAGGCCCACAGACTGGCCCTGCTCCATTCATTTGGCCTACAGGGTCAAAACCTTGAGCACCACTGGCCAAGACATCTCACAGATGTTCTCCAAATGAGAGAGGCATCACATTGGTTACGTTATAAAAGGTTGTCCAGAATGTCTGGAATGGATGCACTGTCAGGATTAACAGCCTGATACAAGCTGGAAAACCTCTTTCACTTTGCCATGGTCTTTTAGTCTATAAATAAAAATGTCGCTGACCTGAATAGAACACTTTTGTTCTGTGTGGCAAGCATCCAGCATCCAAGTTGTGAGATGAAGGGAGTAAAGGTTCCAAGTGAAGGACTCTCATTTTGAGTCAAGATGTCAGCGACTAGCAGAGCAGCTCTGGAATCACTCCCACAGTTTTGAAAAACAACATTTTTAGGCCATATGGGGGCCAACAGAATCATGCAGGCAAAAAGTCCTGCCTCACGCTCCTGAACTTCCACAGAGATGTGGGAGTTATGGCAAACACAAGAGGCTTCCTAACCATAGGATCAGAAAAACAGCCAACAGGTAACTTGGACTAAGGCATCCACTGTAATGAAAGTAACCTCAGTTTCAGAGATATTTCTCCTTAGGTAGCCTCTATCTGGGAAGGCTGAACTGAAAACCAAGTCCTTGGAACCCCAACTTATGGTAAAAAAGAAAACAGTCTTCATAAGAGATTCTGTAACCTGTAAAGCTGTATTTTGGAAAGGTGTACCTGATCCCAGATACATCACTTCCACAAACAAATTGCTTCTCTAAAGAGAAAATTTCACTTCTCCCCATCTGTTGAAGCAGAACATGGTGGCATTGTTGTTGCTCCTCCTCTGGACCAAATATGGCAGAGAAAGACCCTGCAAGTTCTCTGTACCTCCCTGAGGTCTATCATACCATATCTAATCCTCCCTGAGGTGTGCAGTGTTCTCCTATGAAAATTAGAGAACCTGTGTGCGCAGAGGTCAACAGCCCCCAATGGTGAAAAAATAAGTTAGGGACTATTTAGAAAAGCTGGACGTGTATAACTCCATGGGGCCCAATGCAATGAACCCCTGAGGGTGCCGAGGGAATTGACAGATGTGATTGCAGAGTCACTGGCCATTATCTTTGAAGACTTGTGGGGATTGGGGGAGGTCTCAGATGACTGGAAACGGGCAAATATGGTGTTCATCTTTAAGGAAGGGAAGGATGATCCAAGAAACTAAAGACTAGTCAGCCTCACCTCAGTCCCCAGAACAATCATGGAACAGGTCCTCAAAGAATCCATTCCTAAGCACTTGGAGAAGGTGATTAGGAACAGTAAGCATGGATTCACCACGGGCAAGCCATGCCTGACCAACCTGAATGCCTTCTATGATGACATAACTGGCTGTGTGGATGTGGGGAAAGCAGTGGACAAAATACATCTTGACTTTAGCAAGGCTTTTGATACTGCCTCCCACAGCATTTTTGCAAGCAAGCTGAAGAAAGATAGGTTGGATGAATAGACTACAAAGCACACAGAAAGCTGACTGGATTGTTGGGCTCAACGGGTAGTAATTAATGGCTCAATGTCTAGCTGGCAGCCAGTATAAAGTGGAGTGCCCTAGGGGTTGGTTTTGTTCAATATCTTCATTAACAATATGGAAGATGGGATGTATTGCACCCTCAACAAGTCTGCAGATGACACCAAGCTGGAGGGTATAGTAGACAGATGGGAAGGTAGGACTAGGATTCAGATCAGCCTAGACAAATTGGAGGATTGAGCCAAAAGGAATCTCACAAGGTTCAACAAGGGCAAGTGCAAAGTCCTGCACTTAGGACAGAACAATCCCATGCACCAATACAGCCTGGGGATTGACTGTCTAAGCAGCAGTAGTGCAGAAGAGGACCTGGGGATTACATTGGACAATAAGCTAGAGACAAGCCATGTGCCCCTGTTGCCAAGAAGGCTAACAGCATACCAGGATGCATTAGTAGAAGCGCTGCCAGAAGATCTAGGGAAGTAATTATTCTAATCTATTCTGCACTGGTGAAGCCACATCTGGAGTACTGTGTCCAGTGTTGGGACCCCCAGTACAGAAACAATGTGGATGAGGTGGAGAGAGTACAGTAGAGAGCAATCGAAACGGCTGGGGCACTGAGGCACATGACTTTTGAGGAGAGGCTGAGGGAACTGGGTTTATTTAGTCTGAAGAACTAAGAGGGGATTTGATAGCAGCCTTTAACTACCTGAAGGGTGGTTCCAAAGAGGAAGGAGCTGGACTGTTCTCAGTGGTGGCAGGTGACATACAAAGAGGAACAGTCTCAAGTTGCAGCAAGGGAAGTTTAGGTTGGACATTAGGAAAAACTCTCTCAGTAGGAGGGTGATGAAACACTGGAACAAGTTACCTAAAGAAGTGGTGAAATCTTCACCCTTAGAGCTTTTTAAGGCCTGGCTTGACAAAGCCTTGGCTGTGATAATCTAGTTGGGGATGGTTCTGCTTTGAGCGTGGAGTTGGACTAGATGACCTTCTGAATCCCTTCCAACCGTAATTTTCTACAATTCTATGACTTGCTCATTCCAGTTTATTTGCAACATCAGTAAATGATATGAAGGTTAAGACTGAGATACTTCAGAACTGAGGTGGGGGGGAGAAGAGGCGTTTAATGGGGGCTGCTTCACATTAAGAACTTTGTTGCCGAGTAGGACTACAGCCAGAGATTCGCACTGAGCCACTCTCCACATTATGCTTGGCTCAAGGAAGTCCATTTTACTTTTCTGGAAGTTCATTACATCACTGCCCAATCAGTACTGCACAGAGTCATCAACCTGCATCACCCAAAGGACACTGTCAATGACGAGGGATGAGAAAAGACAACAGCATGCCTACAGTTTAAGGTTAGGGATAGAAGTACAGGAAATAGTTAATGACAGCTGAGTTACCCATGATGCTACAATGCTTTTGATCGGGCTCCTCTGCCTGCAGCAATGTCAAGAAGTAACTGTGAATATGAAGTCAATAAAAACAATGAAAAGAGGAGCAGCTTGCAATATATGGCAAGTTTAATGACAGTATCCTGCAAAACTATTACAGGTTATGGGTGAAAGAGCAAGAGCATCCTCCTGCCCTTCTTCCCACCTGCCAGCTCAGTCTACATACGCAATGAAATAAGCAAACTTTTAGTAGTAAATAATTTAACAGATCATCACTCTATGGGGACAACATACTGATTAAGGATTCTATAATATGGTGTAGCAAAACTAGGGTTACATATATATTTTTATTTAAAAAGCAGCTCAGAATGAAAGATGGTTTTCAGCCCACTACACAATTGCTGGGAGGGAGAAAGCTACCACACTAGTAACCTTAACACGCTAAGGCAGGGCTGGCCAACCTGCAGCATGTGCCACAAGTAGCATGGGAAGGTTGTGTGTGTGGCCTGAAGCAGTTTAGGGAGGAAGTGTTCCAGAGAACACAGCAGCAGATAGGGCAGGGAACAGAAAGCTGAGCAACAGTATGGGGAGAGGACAGGAGTAGCCCCCATTACACTAGAGTCATATTCTGTCCTCAGATGTGTATGTGAAACTTTCTCCAATATCATGCCTTGTTCTTTTAATCAATTCTTATTGCTATAGCTTAAGTTCTACAGTGCTTATTACATCACATACACTGTATTATAAAATGCATCATGTTAAAGTCTGGTTATACAAACATATTTGTTGGTTACACAAAAACAATGAGAAAAGTTGTGCATTAAGATCAAGTCTTACCCAAATTCTTACCTCCTCTTTTTTTATGTCTTTTTCTTGATGTTGAAAAAATTCTACTTTTAAGCTTCCTGATGATGGCTGTTCTGGTGGAGGTAGATAGCTCTTTGTATTCACAGCCTCAAAAAGTTTTTCAACAAAGATCTGGGTCTCTAAAAATAGAAAGTTTGTACATACTTTACAAATGCCTGAGATTCAGAATCCCATAGTTTGTATTTTTAACACTTTCACTAAAATTTTAATTATATCCTCTCTCAGGTAAATGTTTCAAAGGAAAGTACTGCCTGAATACTTGCGAAGATTAAAAAAGAATAAAAAGTACCAAGTCATTACCTAAGCCCTCCAAAATCTGTTTTTTTAAACCTTTCCAACCTAATTATAATTTAAATCTGAACTTTCCCATTGCTTACATTTACAAGCCACTAAAGAATGCTACTTAACATAAATATTATGGATTTGAATTGGCATTAAAGTAACAACTACTAATTCATTTGCCAAATACAGGGCTCATGAACAGCATCATTAGAATATAAACTGCACTATGGAAGTTATTTAATATAACTAGAAATAAATAAAGAATGAAGGAGTTTGCTACATAATTAAATTGCTACAAAACATATTGCTCCTAAAATACTGATCTAGTCATTACATATTTTTAAATATTAGTTGGACAAAATAAGAGATAAAGTAAATAAAATTACACATATAATCTTAATAGTTCCATTTATCAATATGTGACTTTTTATTTTGCAATGCATTATTTCATGCACCAGGGATTTACTCTTGAATAAAGCCGTTGGAAAAATGTTAAGATGTTGCCAAAAAAAGAAAAAAAAAAAAAAAATCACACTAAATGTTACTAGGTATATGACAGTGGTATTCTATCTCCATACAAGATTTTCCATGGTACTGACATTTTACAATTAAGTTTTAAGGATGAGTTTTCATCAACACAAACAAACTTTTAGTTTTACCCACATCTTGCATCTTCCAAATCAGGAGTATTTGAGATAAAAAAAAAAGATGGTAAGATAAGCAAACAACATATATAAACAGAGAAAAATTACCCTTAAAGTTATACGATTTTTCCAATCAAAACACCTAACCGGAAGCTATAAAGGGTAGTCAACATCCTGAATAGAATACATTAGAGAAAAGGCACAGCTCCTTTCCCCAAGAGCTTAATTTTTTCAATCACAGAGTACCAACAAAAGCAGTGGATATAGAGATCCTGATCTAATCTCAATGTTAAAGATTTTTAAAGCTATAAGATATATACCTTTTTAACAGTGGTGGAAGGTTTCATGGAAGGAGGACACAATGATGGAAGCTCAAAGAACACACCCACCAGTGGCACACATTAGTAACCAAGGAGGAACACACTTAGACAAAATGAAATAAACTGAAATGGATAGGTAGGCATGTCAGGGTGCTGAGACACCCTTAGTTGAGAATCACTGCTTTATAACAACAGCCATACTTTTAAACAGAACCCAAACTTTTTATGTTTATATTTTAGAGATCCAAGAAAATTGTCTAAGAACACATACATTTCACACCTCAAATACAGAGTGCCAAATGCATATAGTCCAATTACCAATATTCCTGTCCTTAATTACACAATGGCTAAAAAGAATTAATATATTAAATACAAGGTTAGTGCTTACGTAAATATTATGCAATATCCCTATTTTAGATGTTAGAGATGTAACCTAAGTAGCTAGTTACATGTAATAAAGCCTTGTGAAAAGAATAATTAATCCTAAATTAAATTAGAATTTATGAACATTAAAAAATAAAGCATCTCCATGAAGTTTTATAGTCACAAAAAATTATCTTACCCTTTTGAAGAAATACATCCAGCTGATCAACACACAATGCCTTCAGTTCTTTTTCACTTTTATCCTTCTTTACCAGAGCAAGAACATATTTAGCTAGAGCTGATGGATCTGCATCACATCTGTAAATAAAAATGTAAAATTCAACCAAAAACTGAAACTGCCCGCAACTGGCAAGAGAGACATATCAAGGACCTCACAGTATTCATATTAAAATTAAGGGAAAATATACAATCAGTTTCAGTGGGGATCAGTACAGACAGAGCTCCCCCCAAAATTCTTGTGAACATCAATATTTGCCTTAACATATTTTCTTTGATCAACAGAAATTTGTCTCACCTTCATAAAATGATACAAGTTACTATTTTCACAGAGAAAAAAAAATGTACATTAATTCTGCCAAGCCCGTATAGAAGCACAAGGAGGCAAGGGCACATTACTGAATAAGCAGCCTTACTAAATCTCATCTCAAAGCATATTAGTCAGGGGATGATAATTGACACCAGATTTGTTTCAACTTTGAAGCAAGCGGATTATGAACGTTGCCTTTACCTTCTACATCTCTCTCTCTCTCTGCTCCACAAAATGTGGACTGCCTTTTTATCTGAACATTATTGTGGAGCAGTGGCCATATGGATATCACCACTGAAATGTTACTAGAATGGGTTATTTAAGTAGCAACATGAATTAAAATAGCAGCAAAGGTCAACCTACTTGGGGTCAAAGATTTTTTTATCACTTCAGTGATGCCAGGATTTCAACCCTGATGCTTAATATCATCTTTCTCTCTCGCTGCTCAGCATAACAAGGCTGAAGAATGTTACACAGACAAAACTGCCAACCCAGCCAACACCTCTGCTTAGGCAAGAACAATATTCTGAAAAGAATGATGACCTCTGAAATGAAAGCAGAACTAAAACACTGTGTATTAACTCACACAAATAAAAAGCAAGTTTTCTGGTATTTTATAATTTAGTCCCACCCACCTACCAAAGAAGGGGTGTTCCCCAAAGTAGAGATTCCCAAATGGCAGCCCACGAAGCTCTTGATATGCAATCTGCAGACAGATGGCTAGTCATACTGGAACAGCTCTATATCCAGCTACTAGCCACTTTAATAATGCTTTCCCTTCTTTTCCAGTTACAGAATTGCTCAAGCTGCCACCAGGATACTAAGTCATTAGGAAAAAGACATGTGCCAGTATAATCACAAATTGGTAGAGAAGTGTCCAAGAAGGCTGTTAAAATAATCTACACTATAAAACATTTGAGAACTCTTTACCTTTGAGTACATTTGCTTTAGTATTTCACCTAGTCTTTCTGCCATGTATTTAATAATATTATGTACCTGAGCTGGCTAAAACCCTTTTTTTTTTAAAGCCCCTAGGAAAAGTACTCATATTCCACTATTACCTAATGCTACAACTGTTCACTAGGGCACCCCCAGGGAAGACCTGGACCAATGGATACCAACTCCTGGAAGGCCGCTTCAGGCTTAATACCAGGAAAAATTCCTTCACGGTCAGGCTGTCCAGACTAAGGAATAAACTCTCTCCAGAGGTGGTGTAGTCACCTAACCCAAGATATTTTCAAGAAGAGACTAGACAGTCACTTTGCTGGGGTCACCCTAACCCCAGCTGTCTTCCTGCCTAGAGCAGGGGGGCTGGACCCAATGATCTGCAAGGTCTCTTCCAGCCCCTAACAATCTACGAATCTACACAAGATGAGTGCTGAAATAAACTGGAAAGGTAAGACTAGGTGCTGAAGATTTATGTTGAAGAAAATGAAGACAAAACAAATTTTCAAAGAAAAGCATGGTGTCGACCAAAGCAAAAAACCGCAAAAACAGCTTGAGATGTTAATACAGATATCCCAAAGGATAAAATCTGAGCTCTGAACCAAAATATGCAAGTGGAGAGCTGCTGTACTCACCTGGGGTAAAAGTGACATGGTGAGAAAACCAAAACTACAAATAGCAGCATACTAAAGGCTGGACCCCACATGCAAAAAGCACAGAATATCAAGCTATTCAGGCAGAAGGCATCAAAACCCCCCCCTCATAAAGCCATAGGATAATATTCCTAGACTGAATAATACTCCTAGACCCAGAGGGAGGTGGACCAATAATTAAAATAAACTAGGATTAAGGACTGGGAAGGCATGGTTGTGTTTTAAATAGAATACCAAAGCAGTGTGACAGACAACATTTTTCAAAAGTTATTAACACAACTGTAAAACCACCCTTGAGTTGGGAGTCTAAACTGAATTTTAAAGAAGAGTTAAAGAACAAAATCATCAAAAGCAAAATCAGTAGGGAAACCAAGCGAAAGAGGGGCGGGAGAGGATCAATGGATAAGAATTCTAAAATATGAAGTAATTAAATGAAAGAATGGTTCTAATTGAAAGAAAAAAAAAAGTCCTAACATTCCCATGTCAAAACTGTAAAAGGTAGCTATCCAATAGTAACTGTTCAAAATCAAATTAGACAGAAATGCCCAGGGGCTTGCACAAAAGCAGCTGTGGAAACACTTCCCAAGCAACCCAACAACTTCTACAGAATTTAAGGTCTCTCTTGGGGGGTGGGGGGGGTGGGGGGCAGTTAAATTCAAAGCTTTTTGTTAGTATTTTTTTTGCTTTCTCCAGAGCCTTCTCTCCTTTGAAAGAGAGAACACACAAATTTGAAACTTGGAACCAGATAGCACAACAATGCAGGTTTAGCAAGACATAGTGGCGACCTCTCGTGAAACCAAAAAAAAAGGACTTCATATTTCTAGTGCAGAGCTGTCCAACTGGGAGATGCCTTGTTGGACCTGGTGCTGGCCACCAGTGATGACCTGATGAGGGGGCTGCAGGTGCTCGACCACCTGGGCGACAGCGATCATCACCTGCTAGAATTCACCATCCAGTGCA